GGTGGTATTTTTTTTTTATTATTATTACTCTTAACAAGCTTAGGTACACAGCTGTGCGCTGGTGCAGTGGTCTGAGAGGGCGGTCTCACAGTGCAGGCCAAGAGCTAGCATATCCTCTTCTTGCAAAGTTTGGTCATACTAGTGGCCTCTACTCTCATATATGGTATGAGAATAGTGAGAGTAGAGTCTACTAGTGTGTACTAGCAGACTTCGGGTAGACTCTGACATTCCTCCAATGTGTTCCCTCCCACTCTGATATGGCAGATGCCTCCCAGGTCTATCTTGCTCGCAAACCGTCTGTTGGCCAACGAGGCTATAATCGAGCAAACTCAAATTTGAGAATAGGTGTGATTTTGAGAGAGGCAGTTGGAGTGTTGAGGATGATGGCGTGAAGGCGCAGGCGGCCCGCAGGCTGAGGGGTAGTGGGCCGTGTGCACCCCGGCACGCCCTCCTCTGCTCCTATTAACGCCTCCCGGTAAACCCATCCCACTGCCTCCGAGCATAGTTTTTACTTGGCCTGTAATACCTATGGAGAGTAGTGCTTAGCTCCACAGAGCACCAGACAGCGACTTGCGCAAGGGCGCTTAGTATCTCTGGGAGTTTACCTCATGCTGCAGTGCATTTCACTAAATGTAAACCGTCACCAAAGCTATACACACACACACACACCCAACATCACTTCGTAATTGAATATGAAAAGGTGTGAGAGTTTTGAAACACCCGTATCTTAAAGAAATGCTCAAATATTTCCGAATCTGAGCAGAGAGGTAGTAACATGAAGGAGTCCACTGATTTTACTGGATGATACATTAATGCGTGACTCTTCTTGCGTGATAGTATGACGATGGATGGAGCTGCTAGTATAGATTTCACTGTGCTCAGTTTTCTATGGTGACGGGGAAGAGGACGGAGGTAGTGAGCTTCAACGACCCGAAGGGCAGCGAGTGTGGCTGGTGAAGCCCCCCTCTTCTGGCCAGAGGATAGCACACACCGCAGCCCTCTAGACATTTTTAGCCATAATCTGAGCGTCTCTAATTTGACGTAGTCCAGCATCGAGAAAAGATCACTTTGCTAAAGGAACACATTTTGTTACTTATAACTCAGTGGATGTAGGTATGTAATTTGCTGAAACTTGACAGACAATCTGATAAAAAAAGAGCAAGGGTTGCTAACAGGGCGACTTCAGTTTATCAAAGATATGGAGGATTTTCCCAGCTTTATTCAGGTTATATGGCTGGATGTTAGCAGTGTGATGGGAGAGATGTTAAGAGAAGCTTCTGGTAGTAGTTTAGACCGCAGCTGTTGTAACCGGTCACAACGTTGCCTGAACGTACAGATGAAACTTCAAGCGCAGGAACGCCCAGGTTCTTGTGAGGTAACTGTGTGGCAGCACTGAATGTGACCTGACTGGTCCTGGTGGTCACACTCACCAGTCCAGCCCTCCTTACAACGCTCCCGAGGTGCTGGATTAACAACAACGGTTGATAAGAGCGCGAGATAAAACTTAACTGAAGGACCAATTCTTTTTTTGGATAGTTTTCTTCCGTATAGACGTGATTAAATCGCGTCGAGCGAAGATAGTTTCACGTATTGGATCCAGGGGGGGGGGGGAGGGTAGAAATAGCCTAAGCTACTCTATCCCTTTGATATGTATTTCTTTCTTGTCTCAATAAACATTACTTGAACTTGGATCCGGTTAAAGCACGGTTCCGGATATGATTGCATATCCTTAACTGTGTGGTAGTGACCCGAGGACGGGTCGACCCGTCTGCCACGCTCTCAGTTTTTTTTTGTTTTAATTCAGCTACTCGGAATAAAACGTTCCAAGTAGCACGGGCTATGGTGAGCCCGTAGTGGACTTACCTGGCACAGGAGCGGGGCTGTGCACTCTCAGTAGTGCTCACTGGTATTTATACTTCCTGGGGCTGTCCGGATTAATGTCATTTATGTTTCAGAAGTGGTGGTTCTCTGCGCGCTATTAACTTCAGCGTGGTTGCCTCCTCTTTTGTAGAAGTGGTACGATACATACGGTGGTGGTATGAGGTTGTGTGGTAGCAGAGTTTTGGTATGGGGTGGCGGATGTATGGGGTAGCGTGCCTAACAGCAAGTTTGTGAGACTCCACTTGCTGCATCCCTCCAGCTAGACGTGTGTGTGTGACTGTTCGTCGGGTACTTTATATCTGTCGGGTACTTCCTTACGCAGTTCAGTGTCTTTTGGTATGATTTTGGTAGTGTGGTTGCAAATTGTTGTGGTGCAGCCTACTCCACCTGAGGCGGTGGTGCTGGTGGCGGCATGGTTGCAGTAGTATTGTGGTATGACCCTTAACCCCCACCCATGACAGAGCCCACCACACCACTACCCTCAGGGTCCCAACACAAACAACTCGCTCTCTCATGACAAGATAACTCTTCTCACATGAGCACCTGTTTTCACATCCCTGCGCGTCATCCATTAATTACCGCGTGAGGATGGGGCTCTAGGAGTGAGAATGCATCTCTTTCCTGAGGCACCAATTATTTTGGCTTGAATTGAGTATAAACTTCTGAACCAGTGCTTTGATATCAGTCTCCGTGCGCTGTGACTCTGTGGTCTCCCAGCGCTGTGACTCTATGGTCTCCGTGCGCTGTGACTCTATGGTCTCCCAGCGCTGTGACTCTGTGGTCTCCCAGATGCTGTGTCACACCAATTTATAAATTGGTGTGACAAATTATGTAAGGTTACGTTCGTCTACCCGCTGCTGCTCCCCCACACCCGCATACACCTGGAGAAAAATGTTATAGCAAGACAAACAGTATGGTTTTCGATCTGGAAGATCCTGTGTAATGAATTTACTTAGGTTCTTTGATGGAGCTACAGAGATTTTACAGGAAAGAGATGGTTGGGTTGACTGCATCTATCTGGACCCAAAACAGGCTTTCGACAGAGTTCCACATAAGAGGCTGTTCTGGAAAGTGGAACATGCGGAAGGTGCTAAGCTACTAAGGAAGATAAGAAACTCGGACGATTGTCATGTCCTTCGAGAAAACCTGAATAAAAAGAAAGTGTATGGAGCACCACTTGGCAAATGGAATTTATTGTGAACAAATGCCATGCTATGGAATGTGGATTAGGAGAAAATAGACCACATACACAACCTACAAATTACGTGAAAAAAAATACAAAATTCTGAAAAGGAAATCTAGGAGTGATTCTAGACAGAAAACTATCACCTGAGGACCACATAAAGAACATCGTGCAAGGAGCCTGTGCTACACCTTAAAATTTCAGAATTGCTTTTAAATACATGGATGGTGAAGTACTTAAGAAATTGTTCACAACCATTCTGAGATCAGGTTGTATGGTGCTCATATCTTAAGAAGCACTTCAACAAACTGGAAAAGTGCAAAGGCATATAGCTAAATAGCTCCTGGAACTGAAAGACAAGAGCTACGAGAGAAGGTTAGACACATTAAATATGACAAAACTAGAAGATAAAATAAATAGGCGATATGATCACTACGTACAAAATAAGTAACGGGAATCGACAAAATTGGTTCCGGAGACCTGGTACTTTAAGAACAAGAGGTTATAGATTTAAACTAATTAAACAAAGCTGCCGAAGAAATATAAGAAAGTTCACATTCGCAAACAGAGTGGTAGACGGTTGGAACAACTTAGGTGAGGTGGTGGAGGACAAAACCGTCAGTAGTTTTAAAGTGTCAGTATGACAAAGTGTGCTGGGAAGACGATACACCACGAGCGTAGCTCTCATCCCATAACTACACTTAGGTAATTACTCGTTCCACTTTCTCACAACTTGTACACTTAAGGTGGTTCAGGCTGAGATGAGCTTCCAATTTCCACCTGAAGCCTCTCTCGTGAGGTTCCCACGTGACCCCAGCAGTGTCCTGTGTGTTGGGATGATGGTGGCTGGTGTTGTACTTACCTGGTTGTACTTGTGAAGGTTCAGCTACAGCTAAAAGCTGTAGCTGAAGAGTCAACTCTTAATGGATTGGTATATAAATTCCTGATGCTATTGGGCCCCGTCATATCTACCTCTGAAGCCGTGAATGGCGTTTACCTCCATCAATCCACTTTTTAACGCATTCCATTTGTTTATTAAAACGAACAAATTCTTTCTAACGTCTCTGGTTCATTCGGGTACTTTGTTCCCAAGTGGGAACAAAGTACCCTTGTTCGTGTAGCAATTATGCTGAATTGTCTGCACGTCTCTGCTCTCTTTATTCCTGGGAATTTTGTACGTGGTTTTGTTGTTGTTTTAGATTCAGCTACTTAGAACAAAAGTTCCAAAGTAGCACGGGCTATGGTGAGCCCGTAGTGGACTTACCTGGCACAGGAGCGGGGCTGTAACTGCGATACGTGGTGATCAAGATTGCCTTTTATCTTCTCTCTTCCATTGGTGAGAAACCTATTCCATTGTCTTTCCATGTAGCTCATACCCCTCGGCTGTGGGACGAGTCTGGTGGCATACCTCTGAACTTTCTCCAGCTTCGTTTTGTGTTAACGAAAGGACTCCACACATTATATATATATTCATATATATTTATAATCATATATATATATAATCATGTAATAAATATATATATAATCATGTACTAATTTTAGATATTCTAGCTTATTTTTCACTCTGAGTTGGAGGGGTTTAATTAGTGAGTTGTTGTTGGTTTTTAGATTTAGTTACTTAGAACGAAATGTCCATGTAGCACGGGCTATGGTGAGCCCGTAATTAGATTATAGTGAGAGATGTGACGGGTTATAAACAACACGGTAACCGTTTATACACGGGACTGTGGCCGTGTACGCGGCTGTGGCTTTGATTCACATTTTCCACACTGTCGACATTAAAGAATATAATATACGGTGAAAACTGTGAATGATGTGTTCACGCATCAGTGTCCTGTGCTGTAACTTTAGACGTTATCACGACAACAGTCATGAATGATGTGCCATAATCTTACTGTTCCGTGAACAATATTTAATAATATTCTCTTTTGAACAGATTTGGAGAGTGAATGTTTCCCCGCTATCCCGATCTCCGAGGCAGAGGGTGTGGTCGCCCTGTCCTCCACCTCCACAACCACCACCACCACCACAACCACCACCACCAGCACTACCAACACCCTCCTCACTCCCTCCGCCGCCAAGTCTCCCACCATCAACACCGCTGATAAAGATGGCGGCGAGAAAATCCCGTCCAACAGCTTCATCATCACGTCAACCCCGGGGAACTTATCGACGTCGAGCAGTGCCTTCCGTAAAGCACTTGGGGCGCCGCCCCTGTCCCCGCTACTGTCACCCTCGCCGGAGGGCACTGGGGGGGACGCCGCTCCTCCAACTGGGGACCCCTGTTCCTCCACGCTCCTCAGTATGCCTTCTATTAGGGTGAGTTGCTCTTCTTTAAGAAGCTTTAACAACTTGTAATGATTGTTATCTGTTTATACAATAATAGATTTGTAGGCTTGACAGTGTGGGATTCCCTCCTGCCTGGAGGCTTGACAGTGTAGGATTCCCTCCTGCCTGGAGGCATGACAGTGTAGGATTCCCTCCTGCCTGGAGGCTTGACAGTGTAGGATTCCCTCCTGCCTGGAGGCTTGACAGTGTGGGATTCCCTCCTGCCTGGAGGCGTGACAGTGTAGGATTCCCTCCTGCCTGGAGGCGTGACAGTGTAGGATTCCCTCCTGCCTGGAGGCTTGACAGTGTGGGATTCCCTCCTGCCTGGAGGCTTGACAGTGTGGGATTCCCTCCTGCCTGGAGGCGTGACAGTGTGGGATTCCCTCCTGCCTGGAGGCTTGACAGTGTGGGATTCCCTCCTGCCTGGAGGCTTGACAGTGTGGGATTCCCTCCTGCCTGGAGGCTTGACAGTGTGGGATTCCCTCCTGCCTGGAGGCTTGACAGTGTAGGATTCCCTCCTGCCTGGAGGCTTGACAGTGTAGGATTCCCTCCTGCCTGGAGGCTTGACAGTGTAGGATTCCCTCCTGCCTGGAGGCTTGACAGTGTAGAATCCACTCTCGTCGGAACTTATACCACATGTGATCAGATTCTTGAAGACGGTGAGCAGTTTAAGACGGACGCCTCCGAGCCGTGTCAAGCTGGGAAGTGTTGGCAAACTTTGATTAATTCCTCCACGATTTCTGAAGTGCCAGTAACAAGTCCCTGGAGGATTGCCTAAGCACCAGGGACACGGGGCGCGTCTCGCCTAAAAATACCGTTTTTAAATTAGCTCCAAAAATCTTATATTAATTTGTTTTCATTAGAATCTACACAAGTTTTTAAAAAGGTAATCATAATTTTTGTGTACGTTTGTATGAACAAAGTGTACAGTGGCGGTACCCATGTAGAGTATAGTGGCGGTACCCATGTAGAGTACAGTGGCTGTACCCATGTAGAGTATAGTGGCGGTACCCATGTAGAGTACAGTGGCTGTACCCATGTAGAGTATAGTGGCGGTACCCATGTAGAGTACACAGCGTAACTAAGTGTAATCATGTGTCCTGTACACAGCTGGTAATTAACCCTCTAGTAACGTGATACATACAAACATGAGAGTCTTCCCACCACCCACACACCTGCGAGGGCTGACAACACGTGTGGCAGAGCACAGGTGTGTGGCGACAGAGTTGCTGGTTTGTAATAAACAGGAACACCTTCTTTTGAAAGAGTTGTATATACTTTAATATCCCGGAGTATTTTATTTACAACTTTATATATTCCTCTATGATATTTGTTGGTCCCTTTGCCTAGTTTGATTCTTTGTCTTAATTTCCAAACGAGTTTTTTTTTTAGGGGGGGGGAGTTTTTTGTATTTTTAGGGGAGAATTAGAATGTGAATCAATTAATATAGCTGTGTGGGAGGACAGAGTCGTTATATGTAATGTCTTCCCATCATATTTTCTCAATTTAGACAGATAACCTCCACCACCTCTTCCTTAACACTGTCCCTGTGTACTGTCAGTCGCAGAGTACCTTATATGTTGTGAACAGGTCTACGCTTGTTCTCTCTTAAGTGATGCGAATAGCAATCCTCCCAACTTCTCATATCCCAGTCCGTAGTTTGAGAGAGAGAGAGAGAGAGAGAGAGAGAGAGAGAGAGAGAGAGAGAGAGAGAGAGAGAGAGAGAGAGAGAAAGAGAGAGAGAGAGAGAGGTGTTAATTGTATTTTCTATTAATGATTATCAAATCAAGAGCTTGGTAAATTAAAAACAAAAATAATTGTTGGTTGTAGATATAAGAATGTTTGATGACTTGCAGACGAGCATGGGCCTGCTGCGGCCCAGCAGCGTGGTGGTGACCCAGAGGTGCGGCCCGGGGGCGCCAGCGCCGTCAGTCTCGCGCCTGGGGCTAGGCTCCCTCACCCTCAGGCTGCCCGCACCCTCCACCACCACCCCCGCCGCCACCTCCCCCTCCGCTGATGCAGGTCAGTTCTTCAATATTCATACAAATTACAGGTGAATTAGCGAAAGCCAAGCTACTTTATATTCATGATTGCTGGCTTTAAATTTCAGAGGGGTAATTTCTGTGACTTATTATTATTATTATCCCCTATGTCACATTCATGGATTGGGGAGGCGGGAGTCCATGGGTGTGGGGGGAAACATGCTACTGATATTAACAAATAATGTCTATTTACCTCGTCTACCATTTACGTCATTACACACTACTGTAACCTATTCTTTACAACTTCGTGTAAGCAGTCGGCTCGTAACCAATTGGACCCAGTTCGAATCTCGGGCATGCTGGGGCACGTTTCCTTACACCTGATACCTCTGTTAACTCCAAGGCAGGAAATAGGCACATTGGAGTTAGGCGAGTGTTGTAGGCAGCATCCTGGTGAAGGCGGTCGTTGGCCCTGTGAGAACCTTCATAAACGTAAGAGGATTCCTGTCCCCGGCCATGGGAAACGAGAAACCAATCCCCCGCCTGTCTGTCTGTCTGTGTCTCTGTCTGTCTGTCTGTCTGTCTGTGTGTGTGTATCTCGCACGACGCACACTTGACCAGATGATCACTCACCACGACCAAGTACCTATATAGGGACATATACTTTTCATTGTCATACTATTTCGTTGATATTTTAATTTCTTGTTACATTTATTCTCCCAACATTATTACTACTGTAATAATAATATTACTCATTATTTGTTGTTGTTGGTATTCGAACACATTTAGAACATGAATATTAATATATTTACATATTCTCGTAGTGTATTTACATACATATATTTACCCTTCCCATTAGCACGTCTCACACCTATCACATCTATTTCACCAGTTATGAGATTTTCTTTAATTTCTTCTTTCCAGCCGTTGTCATCATTTATTCCAAATGGTCATTAAATGTGCGCCCACAACCTCGAACACTTAAGAATCCGAACAACCCAAGTCTTGCTTTTGTTTTTTTTTAGTTCATTGATTATGCAGCCCATACCCATCCTGTGAGTGGTGTGTGGCAAGGGGTGCCCAACTCGGCAATTGAACCCCAAAATTTGTTTTGGCAAAGCAAGCTCGGCTAAAGTTAATTAAGAGAGTTTAATCAGCCGGGAGAGTCTACATAGTTTTTTAAACTATATATATATATATATATATATATATATATATATATATATATATATATATGTATATATATATATATATATATATATATATATATATATATATATATATATATATATATATATATATATATATATATAATATACTATCCCAGCAAAAACGGAATGTTCTTTAGGTTGGGAGCCGGTCGGCCGAGCGGACAGCACACTGGACTTGTGATCCTGTGGTCCCGGGTTCGATCCCGGGCGCCGGAGAGAAACAATGGGCTGAGTTTCTTTCACCCTATGCCCCTGTTACCTAGCAGTAAAATAGGTACCTGGGTGTTAGTCAGCTGTCACGGGCTGCTTCTTGGGGGGTCGAGGACCGGGCCGCGGGGACACTAAAGCCCCGAAATCATCTCAAGATAACCTCTCAAGATAGGAACCAGAGAATATGTTAGAACATCATACAATTGATTTGACAAAGATTAGATGAAATACAAATTAATAAGCCAGAAAAAAAGAAACAAGGAAGTATAGTACTATTTCTTTTAATTCCACCACTTAACTATTTTATTGTTATTGATAAGCTTAGGTACACAGTAAGGTACTAGGGTATTCTTGAGCGGGACCACAGAGCCGAAGCTCAACCTCAACAAGCACAACTAGGCGAGTACCCTGTTCTATGAGGGACTACTGAGTCAAGATCAAACACGACCTATCAGTTCATCCAATACCCCCCCCCCCCTCCTTCTCACAGGATGGTTAGTCATACAAAAAATCAAACAAAGTGATGTAATAACGAGACTCCCACGAAGGCATTAATAGCACTGGATCCTTATAAGACGTTTTAGCACTCCAAAACGATTCTTCGTGGGGGTCGTATTCCAGGGTCCTGCCCGAAACGCTACGCGTACTAGTGGCTGTACAAGAATGTAAAAACTCTTGTATATATCTCAAAAAAAAAAATATATATGTATATATGTCCCATACATGGAGTGGTAACGTTCTTAGGGCAAAACAAGTTTTCCCAGGACCCTTGTGCCTTCGCCTGTAACTATTTCGTAGCCCTACTCATTCCACTATATTGTACTGAACAAATATGCATTTATGTGCAGGACCCACTTTAATTATTACAATTATTTGAATGAGTAAATAAGTATAGAGGTAATGAGGACATACATAAAAAGTTGCCATTGTTCGTAGCGTTGTTATATAATTGAAAACATTTAGTAACAATCTTCATTTAAAAAAAGATGGATTTTGTTTAATTATGGTTATCACTATTACCAATAACAGTTATAGTAGTTTGTATTTCTTGTTATTTCTAAATCAAGTATTTATATACAGGTCTCTCTCGCCCTTTTCAGGATTTTCTATGCCACCTACTCCACCTTCTTGCTCAAGTAGCGACAGTGAGTGCGGGAGTCAGTCGCCAACGCGCACGCCTCCGCTCTACGAGACACTCACACCGCAGTTCTGCAACCCACGTAAAAACACGTCAAGAATTATGGTTTCATCTCGGCATCCCATTAATACTCCCCTAATTTCCACCCAACCTGTAAGATATTTTCAAGTGTTTATTTTCATTAGTCAGAATTGGTATACAATATTTTGTAGCGTAGATACACTACTTTCCAGGGTATGCGTTCCAGGTTTTCCAGGGTATCTCCATGTGGGTTCCGTCCCTACCTGGATTTGATTGACCTGCATTCTGTTAATAGCACAAAATCCAGTTCTGTTTCTTTAAGCGGAGTTTGTCACATGCTGTCTTGTAGTAGTCCCGTACCAGTTCAAAAATGTTCATCTTCTATTTGCCATGTTAAATTCACCCAGTTTGATGCCTTATGGTTAAAGAATTTGTCTGCAGAATTTATCCCATTTATGAACATTTGTCTGCAGAAACTTTAATTAACATTAATGTAAGCCTTCAAATTACTATGCTTTCGCTGTCTGTATTTTGTAACATATTCTCACTATTAGTTTAACAATTTTGAGCCGTGTACTGTATTACACGAGATAGATTTTGTGGTCCCATGTTATGTGAGTCTTCATTTTTAGTTCCGTCCTCTTTTTCGGCTAAATAGTATGCATCTTGTTGGTCTTGTCTTCACCAAATGGAGGGTGGAATTTCCCATAAACTGTATCTTAATGTCAAAATGTTTTGCTAGCTGATGAAATTCTCTGCCTCGATGCATTGGCATAATTTGTTTAAGTGTCTCGATAGTACAGTTGGGTTCGATCTCTACTCACAATCGGGAATACCAGGCGGGATAGAAATGGTTGAGCATGTTTGCTACCACCTAATGCCTCTGTTCACATAGGAGTAATTAAGTAGGTAGTACCCAGGACGTAGGCTACTATTATGGAGTTGCATCCCTGGGGAGGGTCAGTAGTTTCGACCTTAGGGTGGGGGGGGGACCTCATCTAAGCCTTATTAATTGATGATAAATAAATTTAATAATTTTATCAAGATTCAGGTATTTTGTATATGAAAAATTTAAATTGTTAATTGTTCTTTGGAGATAGATTTCTTTGTTTTTACCACTAGTTAGGACTGCATTCTAATAATTAATAATCTGCACGCTATTATCCAAGCTTTTGACAATTTGGGGTGGCACAAAGTTGTTGGCAAAAAGATAGAAAGTTATTTACTTACCAACTGTGACAAGTGCTTGGTCGTCGTCTCGCCATTATCCATATGTCATTATCATCATCTTATCTTTAGCTAGGAATTTGAACAAGGAAACATGATTTGCAGCTTCATTAGTTTGTCATTTCCCCTGATGCATTACAAGGTCTGGAGAAATGATGTTACACAATGCTTTTGAAGTCTCGGAAATGGTCACATTTCTATTAACTTGTATTTTGATTACAGAAAGGTGCGACAGGAGCCTTAAACTTGACAGAAGAGGAGAAGCGCACGCTCCTCTCTGAAGGCTACAGCATCCCTAACAGACTCCCTCTTACGAAGGCTGAAGAAAAGTCCTTAAAGAAAATAAGGAGAAAGATAAAAAATAAGGTAAACATTAAGAATATTTATATAGTACAGTTTAATACTGTATTCAAATTAATTAATTACATTTTTTTTATCTTCGGTATAATTTGTTACAATACGTACTTATAATGGTGCAAAGCTAGTTGTACCTAGGACATCACATATGTTATTTATTTACTAACGTTATTGATTTTCTGCACCACATGTTGGAAATGTGGAGAAAATCTGCATCACATGTGCAGATTTTCTACTATACAAATTGAATCCCTCTCTCCTAAGTGCCCCCCCCCCACCACATAAAAGATGGAAACAGAATAGTGACAATACATTGTTGAGTTTGTATACAATACAAAATTAAGTTTGTATACAATATATTGTTTGTATACAATAAGTTTACATTTTAATATATTAATTAACTGTTTATAATGTTTAAATAAGACTATTAAACATAAATCTCCTTATAGATATCTGCTCAAGAATCTCGCCGGAAGAAGAAGGATTACATGGATGCCTTAGAACGTAAAGTAGAAAAGCTGAGTAGTGAAAATATTGATTGCAAGCGTCGTATAGAAGTTTTACAGAATTCCAATTCCCAATTGATGTTGGAGTTGCAACGCCTTCAGAATATGGTGGAACAGGAAGAAAAGTACCGGATCAGATCATCACCCATAGCGACTCTACTTGCCTAAAGTAGTTAGTACTGTATTTTCAGGGTTGCTTAATGTATGGGAAGATGAAGACTTCTAATATATTATAGGTACAATGGCCATTTCCAAATCTCCAAAATGGAGGACACAGTTGCTACATGTATAATTATGTATGTATGTATATGCATGTTGTTGTTGTTGAATATGATCTAAGGGATAAGATTAGTGATTCTAACATGAATCTTTTCAATATTTCTTGATTTTTTTCTTCACTGTCAGGGAAAGTTGAAAAATTAACTCTCCAAAGTTCATTTTCACACTTATCTTTGGTCTGAACCTAGGGATGCATTTTGTAAGGTCACTCCTTACACTCTCAAAGACTAATTTACCATGCTTTTGCACAGGTTTATATTCTCTTTGGGTGAGGTGGTACAAAAGCATGATAAATTGAGAATGTAAGGAGTGACCTTGCAAAACACATCCCTAAGTGTCAGACCAAAGATATTGGTCTGACACTTAGGGATAAGGATAAAGATAAGTGTGAAAATGGACTTTGGAGAGTTAATTTTTCAAATTTTGGCAAAAGCAGTGTCCATATCTTATCCTTTCGGTCATATTCAACAAGTTTGCAAGAAAGACTGCTAACAAAATATTCTACAGTACTGTAATTATGCGTGGGGTGTGTGTGTGTGTGTGTGTGTGTGTGTGTGTGTGTGTGTGTGTGTGTGTGTGTGTGTGTGTGTGTGTGTGTGTGTGTGTGTGTGTGGTGTGTGTATGTGTGTGTGTGTGTGTGTGTGTGGTGTGTGTATGTGTATGTATGTATGTATGTATGTATGTATGTATGTACATGTATGTATATATGTATGTATATGTATGTATGTGTGTATATATTATATATATATATATATATATAAATATTATTATGCACATATTAGAATTGCATAGCCTTGCTAAATTTCATTCAAAATTCATACTGTAAACAGTATGTTAGCATTCTTCTCGTTTAGTATTGGGTGTTGTAATATTTACAGAGTTCAATACATCAGGATGATGATTTTAAATTAAAATATAATAGGCAGCCATGTACTCGCCTAGTTGTGCTTGCAAGGGTTGTGTGTAGTTTATCATAAAATTTTCACATGCAGTATAGGTATTTTTATAATTACAAGTCACATGCTTGCATCATGTGTAATGAAAGAAATTATCTTCATGAACTGAGGATTTTTAGGGATTCCCTTTTTATAATATTTTTATAATGCTGCTTTTTTCTTTTTCAGAAAAATCCCTCCAGATAATTCACTTCATGGTTTGTAATTGGTTCATCATTCATCTCCATATTCATCTATTTCATTGGAAGATTTTACAGAAGTAAAAAAATCTTTTACTGTTCTTTCATAATGAGTGCCTTTTTCCTGGTCCCAAGTGGCATTATTACCAGAGTAAGAATATAAACACAGTATCAGGTCATCTCGGTGCATTCCACAATGACGAAAGTTTACGTTTATTGTTGTGGTTGTATGATGTTGAATAATTTAGTTTGGGAGCCTGATCAATGTAAATAATTTATAAAAAATAATTTATACAAAAATATTTTAATAGTACTGTATACACAAGTTTGATATTGCAGAATTTTAGATTGTTGATGAGTTTTAAGAGTTTAATATAAATGGTTGAGTGCTGTTGAGAGGTCATTTAAGACACTCTTTTTGATGATTACAATATTGAATTGTATAACCGAATGCTGCATAGTTCACTCTTTCCAAATATTGTTAGTTCCTGATGGTAAGGTTCATATCACTAATACATGTACTACAAATTTGTCTATTTGAGCAATTTTCCACTCCATCAAAATCAAGAACATAAACATAAAAGAGATTGTATAATTAATAAGTATGAGATACTTTTCTTTTAAGGAATCATAGGTTTGGAATTCAGAGTACAAAATTAGTTTCTGTATGAAATAAGTGTAAGTAGTTATTGTTGAGAATACTGTATGGATACAGTTACCAGCTTCAGAAAGTACTGTATAGTTTCTGAGAAAGAAACAACAAGGCAAATGAATGCATGCAAGAGATGAGGTAATGAGTATTAAAAAAAAAATCAAGCTAGTATGAGTTAAGATGTAATGAAGAAGTGTTCAGAATTTGGATGCTTTCCAAATCTTAGTGATGTTCAGTGGACAAACATATCTTGTATGTTCATATATTTGTCTATACAAAATAAATACTGTACTGTATAAATGTTAGAGAAAGATGGAGATGGTTGTCTCTTCATTACCATCAGAAGCTACAACATAACTGTGCTTGTTTTGGGTTCTCACTGCACAAAATTACTTAAGTATTTCCTACATGCATAGGTAGCATTATATACTGTAGATTAAGTACATTATTTTGAAACTAGTGTATCATCAAAACCCAGTGAGATGAAGTCATGTTATTCTGTGGAGTTTTTGCTGCCTAATGTTTATACCTTTTAAAGAGTACACACATTCTGACTAGTTGTTCTGAACCATTTGTCTGCTCATTTGTACAATAAGTTATGTTTAGGTATATTAAGCTTATGGTTAAGAGTGTTGAATATAAGAATATTCAAGACAACCATATTCCTTAGTGCTAAGACTGAAGGTCAACTTTCAAATTACAGTACTGTACTATACTGTATCGTACCGTACCGTACTGTACTGTACTTCAATATTTATGAAACCAACACGTTCGGATTTTTGTATCCAAATTTTTAGAATTCGGTTCTCTATATTAAGCAGAAATTAAATTGAAGAGTATGTCAAGGAAGTGGTTTGGTAATATATATTTAGCTTAGTTTAACTCGCTCACATTCCATTACCACGTTATGTAGCATTTACCGGTACTCACAATTCATAGATTTCTTTTAATTATGTGCACTTAAATGTTTAAATTACATGCTAGACAGCTGGGGAGCATAAGGCAGAAATTAATTTCACTTCAAGTGCCAGGTAGTTAGTACTTTACAAGCAAAATGTGTTTAAATAAAACTGCTCAAAGAGTGCAAGTGCATTAAAAACGTACGTTCATGTTTATATGCAAACAAAACGTATAAGAATAAAGAGCTGTTCAAGTGTAATTTGTTTATATATTTCAAGACTGGCTGACTTATAGTTTGGTAGGCAAAAATTATCTTTCAGTATCACTATGGTACAGTAATTAAAACTTATGCATTCCAATTTTTATGTTTACTATACAGCAAAAATAAAATGAATATAAACAGCTGAACAATCAAAATGCTTATGACCAATCATGTTCAGTGTTCAATTCTCTATGCACTGCTCATGTTCAGAGAAACTGGGAAGAGTATGTTGTTGGGGAGGTATGTTGGGAACACGATGATGATAAGCCCCAGAAGTGTATAATATGCCACAATTTCAGGGATTTAGCTTAAGGAAATTGGATTTGTCTCTGATTATTTTTGTTGATGTAGAGTTCTGAAGGGTGCCATTACAGGGATTAGTTCATTATTTTATGAAGTGTTAGTTGTTATGACTTTAGTTGTTCAGAGCAATGAGAAATTCTATGGCATGTATGCAGAGGCAAGGTAAAATATTTTAATATTAATTTGATTTAGTTCATGTGTGTGTTTTATTGCTGTATTGAAGTATGAACATTAATTTAATTCTCAGTCTATGTACTGTGGGTAATATAGTTATTTAAATGGGTTGCATTAACCTTTCTCAAAGACCAACAAATTATAATCTATTTAAGATAGTACTGATTTTATTATAATTACTGTATGAGTATTTTTATACTGTACTGTAAGTAATTTATTCATTACTATATTAAACAAATAATTACACGAAAGGCCCAGATTTGTGCAATATTCTTCGTTAAGTATATAATAACTGTCCTTATACTGTACAGTACCTTCAATCCTAAATAAGCAAATTCCTGTACATCACTAGCATTACAGTACTTAGTTAACATCAGAGGCTATTAGTACAATATTATAAGTGATTTATCATTGATAATTATATATAATTTTGTTGAATATTCTCATAATCACCACATTTCATCTTGGACAAGGGAATCAAGATGATCATTTAAGTATTATGCTTTCATGATCATGTATGCTTCCATCCAGTGTAACACTTTAAATCTTGAAATTTTCAACATACACAATATTTGATTATTTCTTCTTGGTTGTTGAGTCTGCACAGTCAAGTCGAGCATGTAACCGTTGCTTGTAATAAGATGTGCAAACGTGTGAAACAAACATGTGATGTGCAAAGCGGTAACAAACACGAGGTAAATGAATGAAGTGTTTTTCTTTATTTTTCATCATACATTATTAAAGAATAGTGCCAAGTTTGAAAGTTCATATTGGACTGTCAATAGTAAGCTTCAAAATAAGTCTTAACATAAATGACACTTTTTTGCATGTTTCATAGCAGTGCTTCCATGGGCACATAATTTACTACCTATGCTACTCTGTTGCATTGCATGATTTGGCCCAAGGATTTAAGTGTACACATCTTGCCAGAACCTCTAGAAACTGCCTCCTTAAGATCCATTGGCAGACAATGAAATATCAAATGTTATGTACAAGACCACCATTGATTGGTGAGCAAATATTTTTATAAAAAATAAAATTGAGGCAGGTAGCTAGAAATTCTCCAGTGATTTCTAGAATTATGCATGATTTTCATTACAATGTTTATTGTTTTCATTGATGGAGATATCTTTAAATCATGTTTCTGCATATCTGATGTTTATGTAGTTCTCTTTACTGTATGGTTTGGATAGGTCAAGATAGGGTGTAAAATTTCTTGTGTAGTGTATAGAATGCCTTCATTCTAATTAGTCATGTATAAATGTACAAAGTAAATATTTATAAGGTTGTATTCTGATTAAACTTAAGACAGTCTTATTCTCAACTGTTAAGACTTAGTGGACCAATCATATTCAACACATTTAGAAAACATTTGTATTACTGTATTTAGAAGTGTTTTCAATGTGATTGTCTTAAAAGCTGCTGCTATGCCTGATTTTCATTGCTTTAGAGTTACTGTATATGATGTACTCCTGAGATGTCATATGGATGAACTGATTATTTCTCACGTTTTTTAACAGTATAATTTTAAAGCAGACAGTTGTTCATTGTGGTGCAAGTACAATAGGTCGTTTCTATTATTTTTGGCCAAAGTGCAATGTCGGTGTTGTGAATATTGTGTGTGGTTGGGAGTGCTGCTGTTGGTTGCTAGAGCAGATGATGTGTTCATACAGTGAAAATAGCCACATTTTTATCAAAATCTTAAATTTACAATAGCTTCATTTATGAAATCTGTTGCTTTTACATAAAGGACTAAAGCACTCAAAGCTGTTGAAAGTTGAATTGTAAATCAAAGACTCTATTTTGTGTACAGTATCTATAATATCAGTGTATGGTACTATTGACACCGTGTGGTATAATTGAGACTGCCCTGACCATTCCTGATCTGCCATCTCACTTGTGTGACAATAAACACACCAGATTTCTTGGGCTATTTCTTTTACCTAATGTCATGTTTATAGTCTTGTTTTGTGTGTGTGTGCATGTGTGTATATATATATAATCTATATTCTATTGTGAAATACAGTACCTTGCATTAGACAGGGAAGGGCATGTTGAATAATGTTTGAATATTTTGTTCAACAACTAACTCCACATCTTTGCGATTTGCCGGCATGTGCAACTCATTGTGGTGGGGCTTGTGTGATTTGCTCATCCCTAGTGGACTCTGTTAGTGGGTCCCTTGACTCCCAGTTGGGACTCCTTTGCCAAACTGGCTGCTGGTCTAGAAAGTCGTCTGAAGGTTGTCTTTGGCCTAACGCAATTCATATACTTGCTGTGCATGGAAAGAGACAATCCCCATTGCCCTTCATCTGAACATTGGATCTGCTCAGGATACTGCAGCTCTTGGGAAGGGGGATCCAAACCACCTCTTTGGTGGTAGGGTGGGGGCAATACTTGAAATTCAGTAATGTCTAGCTGAATCAACTGGCTTTGTGTAGCTGGACTAGTGTCAAGTGGACATTGAGGAGTGAGCACACTTATTGGTTTTGAGTGCTGTTAATAGTGATCTGCATATGGTCTACCTATTATTCCTGGAATTTATGCCCTACATTTGCCCCTTATATCACTTAGTTGGGCATCATGGTGAGTAGAGAGGTCTTTAATTTTGTATCTCATTGACTACCATTCCTGCATCTTCTGGCTTGAGGTGTGGGCAACAAGGCCCTTTTGTTATGCCCATAGAAGATCTGCTTCTCCCTTAAACTGAATGGAGCTCCATGGTGATTTCTTGACTTCTACTTAAATAGGTTCTGACACGGCATTGCCCCTGACATTTTATTCTGTTGGTGACAGATGGCCAGGTATATCAAGTGCTGTGTTCAAGTCCTGAAGACTTAGTCAAACATCCCAGCATTAGGTAAAGTTATTCTAAGAGCCTGTAGAAAAGTAGTTTATTGCAGTGGAGAGCCATGTATTAATTTAGCTCTGGTCAAATAAAACAGCAAGATGTTAAGTTTACAACTGTTCTCAGGCTCACTCCTCGCTGTTGTAAAAACCTAATTCCACCCAAATCTACTACAAAAAACACAATAATTATTACAGTATAGCACCTATAAAATCATTTATGACTCCGTACAATAGTTTAACATTTTGTTAAGCTAAATTACAGACTTCCTCTTATCGAGGCCCCTGCCAGCCAAAGGCAATGTTGTCCGTATGATTACTGAGTAGACCTAATATGGTTTAACCGAACTGACAAAGACATGTATGGTACATCCTTCACTGCATCATGCCACTGGAATTGAGCAAAACATTTCATTTTGGTGAGTGTTCTACAATAATAGTTTTCTCTATGGATAAACTAACTACAGTATTACTATAATCTGGTTGGTTTAAATTAGTTTTGATTACTATAATGATTCATTAATATATAAAGTTATTTAATTATTTATTAATTACTTAATAATAGAGTTCTTACTTGTAAAACCACTAGCATGCAAAGCTTTTCGGGCAGGTCCTTAATCCTAATTTTCCCTGGAATATGATTTGCCAAACTGTTTAGCAACCAGGTACTCATTCACTGCTAGGTGAGCAGAGGCTTGGCACTTGATCAATTCTCCCCCATACGACGAGGATACAAACCCAGGCTAAATTGCTCGCGGGATGTGGGGGCGAGTGTTTTACCACTGCTCCATGGGGACTACCGAGTTGTATAGTAAGTATGTATCACATCATATTGAATGATAAGAAAATCAACTGGAGCTCTGAGGTGACTCAAACCCATGACCAGGAGATTCCCAGTTGCTGATGCTAACCACTGGACCACCCCTGACTTGGTAAAGTCTTTATAACCTGGTAAAGTTTATATAGACAGATTTCAACTGAAATCACAGGAAGTCTGGAGGCCTCTACTGAAGCCAGTCCAAGTTTCACATATAACCCCCAAGCACTCTGCTATAGGCACCTTAGTTTATCTTCCATACACCCGAGTGCTTGGGGATTACATGTAAAACTTGGACTGGCTTCAGTCAAGGAATGTAGACGTCCTGTGATTTCAATAGAAATCCGGTTCTATAACGTTTATCAAGTCAGGGTGGTCCAGTGATTAGCGTCAGCAGCTGAGAGTGTCTGTCATGGGTTCGAGTCACCTCAGAGCTCCAATTGCTTTTCCAATTGATATACAGTATATCATGTTAATGTGATTTCTTTGTGCATTTGAATGATAATCTTACGATGGTTTAGAACTTCATGGTACAGTACAGTTCTGTAAAGTACAGTACAGTGTACTTATATTGCAGATATTAAAATTTTAAATAATGTTTTCTACATTAAAAAAAAATGTAAGGATGTCAGACCATACTGCAAGGACAATCTCCGAATTAATCATACTGCATATTTGTGGCAGACATTAAAATTAAATGGAACATACTTAAAATATATGGAAGTTCAAGTTATAAATTTGAACTGTACAGTATTACAATCAGTGGTACATACCTCTGTTTACAAATTTAATCCGTTAGTACTCGGTATATAATGTACCTAATAGGTCAAGTTGACTATCAAGTATTAAATTTTAAAAATTTGTTACAGAATTTTTTCATTATAATACATTTGATTTTTTAATGTTAAATCTAACAAATTTGATCAAACATATCATAAGTCAGTATTTCATGTATTTAATATAATATTAATTGGAATAAACTAATTAGAAAAGAAATTTGAAAATAACAAATCACACTGTTAGGTAAATTGGGCCTTGAATACTAGACCAAGTAGTACAGTTCTGGCTATTAGGTACAGTAGTAGGCATCTATCAGATACAACAAACATTATACATGTATATAATTTGTATACAGTACTGTATTTTGGTAGAAATCTTTCTTGTTGACATGTTATTGAATATGACAAAGAGCAAGATCCATGATTCTAGCATGAATCTTCTACATTTTTTAAATTTTCTTCACCTGAGAAGGAAATTGAAAAATTAACTCTCCAAAGCTCATTTTACAATTTTATTAATGCATGACACAGAGATGCATTTCATTAACCCTTCTCAACATCAAAGGCAAAGTTCAAATGATTACAAGTTTTTTTGTTTATGTTCTAATCTTCATGAGAAACTTGGATAAAACTTCAATATTTTGGTGGGGGTGCCTTATATGCTTAATTGTTTCTATTATCTATATTTCAAGTGCTGTTCAATCTGATCTGTGTATTCATAAAGTAATAGATAACCCAGTTAATTAAAATTATCTACTGTACTGTACTGTTTTTTTTATTTAGTTATTTTTAATAGTAACTAATAGTGTCTACACCTGTAAATGTTGTGAATTAATACTTTTTGTGAGATGTAAAAGAGAGGATGAATTGTGTGTGTCCAAGTATTAATAAGTGTATAATATGACATTCATGAGCAGAAAAGTTTTTTTTTTTTTTTTTTTTATACTTACTGACAGCACTGCCAATGAAAACCTTAATTTGGATATTAAGAGAGTTCCATGTTCCTGTTCAAATTAAGATCACATTATAAAATAGTTGTCATAGGCTATATAAAATAGTTTTCACAGGGGTGTTTTGAATAGTTAAGACGGTGGCTCTCCTTAAAACACTACGGGTTATAATATTTAACCCCTACCATTTGCTTTGTAGGTGGCTCTCAGAAATATTTCTTTATACATTTATTTTTTTCATTGTCACTTTTAACCTGTCAGAAGCTTTATCATTCTGAATATGCCAAACATTCGCATAAAAATTACAAGGAAGAATCTAATATATTAAGCAGAAGTCGAGTAAATTTCACATGGTTTACATTTTTGTATGAACAAAAAATAACCCAAAGATAGCCGTTACACCCATAATGCAATTTATTAAGTACTATGCTGTCCTTTCCACCATTTCCCAGCCACAAGTGTAGTGGTCCTCAGTGATTTACATGTAATGTTAGCTTCTCTAAAGTTGGTCAAATCAGGTTGTACTCTCCGAAGGACCTCTTCGTATGTCTTGAGAAGCAGGTCACTGGACACAGGTCTATACTATAGTCCTGCACATGAATAATTCTTACTTATGGAAATAAATATAATGTTTTATTGTTTCTTAATTTTCATAGTACTGTACTGTATATTTAATACTTTTGAAAAGTACTTACACTGTAGATGTATTTTTGTTACTGTACTTCTTTATATACAGTAAATACTTTTCTTTTTACAAATTCGACTTGCCCAAGATTATTAAAGTCTAAATGAGTTATTATAGATGTTCGAATGGTCTCCCTTGTGTATGAATTATTCCCTCTATGGAAACGTCTCAGATAGTTCACATTTGGTACTTTAAAAATCTGACATTTGGAAAAATAATGCTGTCAAGGTTACAGGTAAAGCATCTAAGGCAGACATATGGCCCCAGGCTCAACCAAGCTTGCCAACAATATCTGATTTTACTCAAATATTACCATGAAACCTGTCAACCATTTCCACTCTCCCATGCACAGTGCTAATTAATGTTTTAAGACCAAAAATTTTTCTTTCCAACAACTATTATTGAATTGTTTCCAACACCAGGACAAGGTAGTACTGTATACTGATAATCATGTCTACAACTGGCACATTAAACTATTTTGACAGTTGATTTGCAGACAAATAACTTGTAAATTGTTAGACAAAACCTTCATCATAAACCAAAATCTATGGAGACATGTGTCATCTATTCATTGAAGCTGAAACAATAATATTTACATGCATTGTGACAATTAGTTTTGCAAAAGCCTACATGTAAAGTTTATGCCATAAATGATTTTTTTATAATAACTATAAATAAATATGAAGAAAAATGTACAGTAATATGATCAAGTGTATATTGACACATAATAGAGCCTTTCTATTTCTTTTTAATAAGGCCACTAATCACGCACAGCGTTTCAGGCAAATCTTAAAACTAACATTGGAGTATGTGCTTGAGTTTATCACCAACACTTGTTGCTGCCAA